GGGGCTAGGACCAGCCCCCGCGCTTGCTCGGTGCGGCTGCCACGCCCCTCCGGGCGGACACCGCCCCCTGGGCCCCGGCGCTGCCGCGCGTGCGCGGAGAAGGCGCGAGGAGCTTCCGCGGGGCCCTTCCGCGCGCGGCAGCTGTTGCTCCGGGGTAGGTGGCGACTCAGAGGTGGTGGGTGGTTGCCCCCCGCGCGCCCCCGGGCCTTATTTCGAAGCCGGCGTCCTTTCTGGTCCGTCTGGCGCTTGCCAGGCCCTGGAACTTGGCTGGGGCGGAGCGCAGTGACCGGTCCTGAGGCCCCTCCGCACTGGGAGGTGGCGGGAGTCGCTGTTTAGTACTGAAAGGTTCTTGTTCGAGGAATGAGAGACCCGGGTTCTTAGGTTTAGTTAATTCAGGAGTCTGTACGCTAAGGAATACAGTGGGAAAGGCAGCACAGCCCCTTTCCTCGCAGAGCTTAACCCTTCGGACTGTGCGCGTGTAATATGGAGGGCGCGCTGCGGGGTCGTGGCCCAGCCCTGGGAGAGTAGGAGTGGGACTCGGGAATGTCGGAGGAAGTGGCCCTCACCTGCGGCCCGCGGCCTGAAGGAGTTCGCCAGGGAAAAGGACGACTAGGGGACGGGGGTGGTAGGAATCGGAGCAAAGGTGGCCCCAGACGAAAGTCCAGCGAGGAAGGAGGTAGAGAGTAGAACGGGACTCGTGCCCGACTGCAGTGGAGCTTCGGTGTGGGGTGTAGACAGATGAGTCGGAGAGGTCGACCCGGGCTCTGTGCACCAGTGTTCATTGTTCAGACTATCCTGAGGAAATTCGGGAGCCACTGGAATATTTTTAACTGGGGAGTAACTGGATAATCACATCATTTATTCAGTGCATACAGTGGTTACAGACTTTTCTGCTGGAGGCGTAGAGGGAACAAAAGAGAATTTTTACTCCCATAGGGTCTAGGAGGCATATTCTGAACAGCCCCGACCTCCCAGGAGAAAAATTTTATTGAAATCTCATTTTATCTTAAATATTTATGCAAGTTTTGAATTGCATGCCACAATATATCCTTATTTTGGTATAAAAGATTTTCTCAAATCCTCAAGTTATACTAATGCTTTAGGACAGTGCATCATATTCTATGATTTTTGTAGCCCTGACATCCATCATGTACCCTTCCCTCATTTCCCCCTCCCCCGACATGTACATAACCCAGCCTTTCTATGTGTGGATTACTGTTCACAGTACATGTCTTATTTTCTTTAATCCTCCCATCAACCATTAGAGGCCGGTGTTAACCCTTTCTATTTTAGCAGTGAAGAAACTGAGGCTGAGAGCTTAAGAAAAGTGCCCAAGTTCCCACGTACAACTCCTTAGTTCTTGGCCTTCACCACTGCACTCTTGCATTTTAGGGAATGGATTTGCAGCTAGAAATAGTAGATTTCAAGTGGAGAAGACATTTAGAAAGTTGTTGAACCTGGGCTAGATGAAAAGTGATAATTCCAAAACTAAATTTTATTGATGATGAAGCGAAATGAGTGGATTCAAGACTGAAGGAGTTAGAACTGACAATTGGCAATTGACTGGATGGGAGGAAGAAGTGGGAGAGCCTGCTGGGCACATCTGGATTGATGGTGCTGCCATTCACTCATTGATCTCAGGAAAAAGAGCAGCTCTGAGGGTTGTTAGTACTAGTTGAATGGAAATACCCCTGGGATACTCAAGGGGAGATGTCTTCTGAAGTGTCTTGGAGAATTACTCTTAAAGATGAGAGAGAATTTGCCTTGACTATGTACCACTATCAGTTGTTTATGACTCTTCTAAGGTATTTGGCTATGTATACTGTAATCCACACATAGCCCAGGTTCAACAACTCTCTAAATGTTCAGACTGGGAGATGGTGGGAAGTAAACCCAAGATAAACCAAGAATATGGACTACCTTTGAAGCCTTTACAGTTCTTCTGGGGGTGATACTAATTTTTTACAATTACATTTTTTGGGGGGGAAAATTTATTTTGTAATATTGAATAACTTTTTATTGAGACATAATTGACATATAACATTATACTAGTTTCAGGTGTACAACATAATGATTCAATATTTGTATACATTGGGAAATGATCACCATGATAGATCTAGTTAACATCTTGTAGTGTACATAACTAATTTATTTTTCTTGTAATGAGAACTTTGAAGAACTATTCTTAGCAACTTTCAAATATGTGATACAGTATTATTAACTAGTCAGCATGCTTTTGACCCCCTTTACCCACTTTCCCCCCCCTTACTGCCCTACTCTGGCAACCACCTGTCTGTTCTCTGTATCTAAGAGCTTAGGAAGATGCAATATAATAATCTCAGTTCTCCTAATATTGCTTTATGGAGACAGTGCAATTCTAGTCAGCATCCCAAAAGGTGGGGTTTTGTTTCGATGGGAAATGGCAGGCATCGGCAGGTTCAAGGTTTGTTGTGGGTAATGTAATCGTATGAATTCCAGAACTATTCTGTGATTTTTGTAGTATCGAGCAAATGAATAAATGTATTGTTGATGTTTAGAAAATCAGTATACTCAAATGGGGAAAAGAGCTATGAATGTGGAATGGGAGGAGAGGAAGAACCCTGTGGTATTGGTTTGGAATTGGAGATGTCATAATGAATTAATTTTAAAAATACATACATTTTGCCCTAGCTGGTGTGGCTTAGTTGGTTGGAGCATTTTCCTGTGAACCAGAAGGTCACAGGTTCCATTCCAGGCCTGGATACATAGGTTTCAGGTTCAATCCCTGGTCAGGGCAAATACAGGCGGCAACAGATTGATGTCTCTCTCTCACATTGATGTTTCTCCTCTCTTTCTCCCTCACCCCCTTCCTCTCTCTAAAATCAATTTTTAAAAAAATCTAAAACAAAAAAAATATACCCTGGCCCGTGTGGCTCAGTTGGTTGAGTGTTGTCCCATGCTCAGTGGTTGCCGGTTTGATTCCTGGTCAGTGACCATGCCCGGGTTGCAGGTTCAACGTCCAGTAGGAGGCGTGGAGGAGGCGGCCAGTTGGTGTTTCTCTTTCTCCATCTCCCTTCCTCTCTAAAATCAATAAAAACATATATAAAAAAATAAAAATATATACATTTTTTAGCACTGCAGTTCTTTTTGTTGTTTGAATATATTCTGTTGAAGGGCTAGAGTCAGAGTACTATGTGTTTTAGCATGATTAGTTTGTTAGTATTTCATTTTAGAGCCAGCTTAATTTAAGCTTCAATATATAAACCATTAACATGGTTCAAAGCTAAAACTAAAAGCATGGGCAAGTTAGTAACTTCTCAGTTCCTGAATTTGCTAGTCTGGCTAGGATTGCTTAGAAGTTTCAGTAAAGAGATAAAGACTGCAAAGAACTTAGCATGGTGCAGAACATATACAGCATCCAATAAATGTGAGCTGTTCTGACTTTTTTCCTTCCAGTCACTTCTCTTGTTCCTTACTTTTCCTGTGACCCTAGGCCATACATTGCAGTGCAGAAGTCGTCAAGGCCTATAGTAGGACTTAACAAAGAAGTATATTTTGAGTTCTGGGGCTTACTGTGGGTTTATTTAGTTTTTATATTTATACCTTGTATGCAGAGATGACTTACTTGGAGTGGGAACAGGATTTGGGAAATAGGAGGAGCAAAGGAGCTCTAAACTGGGAGGGAATTTAAGGGTCATCTTTGCCACCAGAAAGGAATACACCTAAGAGAGAACAGCACTTAGAAGGACAACACTGGACAGTCTAGAGTATTCCTGGCAGCTTTGGGAGATGGACCAGGATCGAGGATTAGCAGGCCCATATTGAAGAGGGGAAAATCAAGGCTTTGGAGGTAACGTGATACATTAATTCTTTTAGCCTTGATTTCCAGACTGTAGGCAGTAGAGAAAGATTGAGGCTTTATCTTGCTTCCTCTCTACCCTACATATTGAAGAGAAATGTGGGTCCAGAGCAGGGAAGGCACTTGGCCGAGGTCACACAATGAATTTGAGGCAGAACCAGGACCACTACCCGGGCCTACTGACTGCCAGTCCCAAGCTCTCACGATTGCATTTCATAGGGAGCTCCCCAGGAGAGAGAGGTCTTCCCTCAACACACCCCATCTGTCCCAAGGTAAGATGCCATAAAGCTTTTCCTGTAGAGTCTCCTCAAATCCTTGGTAATTACCTATTCATATCTCCCCAGGTTCTTTTCCCTTTCCCTCTGCTTCTCAGTTTAAAGGAGATGGCCCCTCCATGTCTGTTGTCACATCAGGACTTGACACATAGTAAGTGCTTAGTAACATTTGCCCTACAAAGATGCAAATGAATATGGCAACTTGGCAACATCCTGTAAGGATGCAGATAAGCACATACCCTCAGACTCAGCAAGACACCAGAAATGTTCACCAAGAGATGTGTACAAGGAGGTTCAAAGGGGCCCTCTTCATTATAGTAAAAGGTGCAAGACTACTTAAATATTCATAATCAGGAGGACAGATAAAGTCTAACCCATACAGTGATACTATACAGTAGTGAAAGTGAATGAACAGTGGCTATATGTGTTAACATAGATACATCTTCCAAGCATGATGCAGAGTAATAAAGCAGGTTGGTAAGAGTAGAAAGAATAACATTAATACAAAGCTTTCAACACATCAGAATCAAGAGAGTAGCTTTCTTGGGGAGAGGAAGAAGGGAAATCAGATCAGAAAAGGGTACACAGAGGGCTCCAACTCCATCTGTGATGTTTTATTTCTAAAGCTGAATGATGGGTAAAGGGGATGGTTGTATTGTCCTTGATGCCTTTTTGTATGTCAGAAATACTTCATTATAAAAACAAAAATATGAAAAAAAATAGGTTTTTAGAAACTAAAAATGACTGTTCTTGCCCACTCCCTTACTTTTTAACCATACATTATACTCACTCCTCTGTGTATAGGGTATAGGCAAGAAATTCTAAAGGGAAAATATGCAAAAGGAATTTTTACACTGTAAGATAAGGACAGTATTTTCTGACTTTAAAATTATTGTATGACTTGAAATTCCCTCCTCAGTAACCTGTAAATACTGTTAACTCCTTGGCAATATATGTCATTTCAGGATATAATAGTGGACATGAGTAATTAGAAAATTTTCATCATATAGAACTAAAGCTGAAAAAGATTTTGGCATTGATTTAGTGCTTCCACACACTCATTCTTCAGAGTACATTATTCTCATATTTAGAAATAAAATAAATGAATAAATTGTTACACCAAAGAGTTATTTTAAGAAACCTGAAAGTAAATAGTAACTTCTTTTTATTAAATCTTCTTTTTTCCTTTCTACTTTTAATTCAAAATTTTTTAAAAACTAAGCATTATGAAAGTTTTATGAGTCAAATTTTGGATTTTGATTTTAAAATATACATTTTTTCCCCAAAAGAAACAGCTTAACACCTAGCAATATCTTCCTGGATATGAATGATATTTTTGAAGACTTCCCAGTTTTTAATTGTGCATTGTTTTCTAAACTGTATTTTTAATTTCATTTGCTCTCTCCTAGGGAATGAAGGATGGCAGCACGCCGTGCATTAAAAGCTGTTTTGGTAGATCTCAATGGCACACTTCACATTGAAGATGCAGCTGTGCCAGGCGCACAGGAAGCTCTTAAAAGGCAAGCTATCCTCCAGGTTCAGCTGACAAATATGTTTGTAAGTGCCATTTTACCAAGGCAGATCATTAGCTAAATGGATGACCTTAAGATGGCATTTCACCAGCTTACCATATATACAAAAACTGCCTTGGGTTTAGCTAGAAGATGTATGCATTGTAATATCTTCCAAACATTATTTTCTAAGCCTATATTAGGTTTGGATTTTGATCTAATCTAGTCTTTTTGTTCTTTGTGTGCATGTCTTTTTCTAAGTCAGTAATGTAAATTTGTGAATGAAAACTTAAGATTCTGAAATGTAGAGTAAATAGCATTGGAAAAACCACAAAGGAAGGAATCACAAAGTGAAACACACACATACGCAAAGGCATAGCACTGCCCACTCCCCCTTCACCTAAGATCTAGCATTGAGTGTGCAGCTGCTCAAGTAAACTTTGAGGGACTTGAAATTTTAGAATTATTTCCGTTAACCAAATTAATGCCTTTGAAGGGTAGAGACTGTTTTATATTTCTGATGTATCAACCACAGTACTTAATGTGTCTAGGTACAAACGAGGATGCGTAGTAAAAACTTATTGAAGTAAACTGAATGTGGCTGTTTGCTTCTGAGTGTTCTAAAAAAACACTCATCAATACAATAGTACTAATAATTGGTATTAAGCACCTTCATACTAAAATAATTTAGAGAAGTTTTCAAATTCTGCAATACTTAGCATGTGGTGCTTATTATTTTCCCACCTTAAAACAGTCATAGTATGCTGTTTTTCAGAAAATCTAGTGCCTAGTATTACACTACCAGGTAGTAGTGCAAAAGATTGACACAGACCTCGGTTGTGTCAGTCTTTTGCAAGATAGCTTGCATTCTCTTAAGGGAGCTTACTTTCCATTTGGGGAATCAACAAATATAAAGAGACTTATGTATCTGGTAGGCATCATTTGGAAGCTATCAGTTTAGTTAGAAGTCATGATGTTCATGTTATTCGTGGACATTGTATTGTTTAAAGCCAAAAGAAAATCAAATGCACATTTCGACTTTCTCTTGACTCCTTGATACTGTCTCTTAGTTAGACTTTCTCTGGGAAAGGATGTGGACAGGAGCTTTTACTGCTCTAAAGATGAGCTTTTTACTTTGGATCGAAAGAAAAATCTTTTTATTTCTGGTGAACAATGAATGACATCACCAAGTAGCTCTGTAACTATGAGCCTGCCATTCTGGAGGGGTAGGAGCCTACAAATTGCACTGGTGGGTTTCCATCCAGAGAAATTGCTATACTGTTATGGCCAGTTTTGGTTTCTATAGAAACAAACAGACTAAGGGAAGTTGAGGGACCAGTAAAAAGAAAAGTTAAAAAAAAAAAAATCTTCATTAAAAATGATATGGTTATCTCAGTACTTCTACTTGTTCATTTTTAGGATAATAGTTATGTTGAAATAATCAACTTCTTTTGAGAGATAAACCACCAAATTTAATGTGTTTTTCAGAAAAGTTACCACAAGATATTATAGAGGCAATCATGATTACAATGAACTGTTTAATCATACAACTTTAGTTAATGTTCTTTGGGTGAATATTTAAAAATCTCTTTCTGTTTTATTTGCTTGCTTGTTTTAAATTGCAGTTAGTGCTTTTATACCTTGAATCCTTTGGGGCAGGCATAAAATAAAAAGCAATAGGGTATTAATATAAAATTTTAATTGTAGCTAAATTAAAATTATTTTTAGATTTTGGGTGAAAACACTGTAGGACCAAGAAAATAATTTTCATTTTAAAGAAAGCTATACTCTCATGAATTCTTTCTCTGACACCTGATTGCCAGTTCAGGTTCCAAAAGCAGATCACAGGATCAAAACAGTCCTCTTATATCTAAGTAGTTCAAAGGGAAAACACATTTTATTTTATTTTAAATGGACTGTTCTTTTAGCTCTCCAAATAGATTCTCTTTATAAATTTGGTAACACATTAGGGTTTAGCCAGTGTCTAATTAGCTAAGAAGAAAGAAAAATAACTTCTTGAGTATCCTCTGTTCTCTTAGTACAGGAGATCAAGGCCTGTACCAGGACATAGATTAGAGCCCTTATCTCAGCTCTACTGCTACCCAGTGTATAAAGCTGAGCAAGTCGCTTATCTCCTCTAGGCCTCAGTTTTCTCCTCTTTAAGAAGAGGAGGTTGCACTAGTAGATAATCTCTAAGGCAACTTTTACTTCTCGTATTCTGAGAGTACAGTGGTTATTATACTAAGCTTTGTTTTTTTCATGTATTTGCTAAATCCCATGCAGTAAAATTCAGTTCAAGTACAGGGGTTCTCAAAAAGATAGACACAGCTTTTACTATTCTACTTTGTAGCCTTTGGTGATATAGTGGCCCAGAGGGTGTGGATAATATGTAAGCAATTCTGGGTACATAACAAAAAAGATTATTGGTGATAAAAACATTTACTGGGTGACTTAGCCTTCATTTTCTGACCTTTGGCAAGTGCTACCAAATTAGATTTTATGGGGCTAGGATGTAAAAGCTGCCTGTTGACATCTGAATTTTACTTTTCCAGGTTACGTGGTACTTCTGTAATGGTTAGGTTTGTGACTAATACAACCAAAGAGAGCAAGAAAGACCTACTGGAAAGGTTGAAAAAGTTGGAGTTTGATATCTCTGAAGATGAGATATTTACTTCTCTGACTGCAGCCAGAAATTTAGTAGAGCAGAAACAAGTCCGGCCCATGCTGCTAGTTGATGATCGGGCACTACCTGATTTCCAAGGTAGGGAAAATTTGAAAAGATTTAAAAGTTGGTTCTTCATATCTTCTTATAAACCTTTTTTTAAAAGATGTAATTGGGTGTCTTTTGTTTCAACTCTTGATGTACTTCCCTCTCCTCTCACCCCCACCCTCAAGAAACCTGTTTGAGGGACAGAATCTATCTTGTCTATCTCCTAGAGCCCTTAATGTTGTGTCCTAGAGGTTCTGTAAATATTTGCTGGATTGTAAGACAAAGTCTCAACATAGAGACTTGGAGGAGCATCAAATGATTATCAGGAATTAGGGTTGAAATCATCTAAGAGTGTTCCTTGGATTAAAGTAGTGTTATAAACCATTCTTAAAACTGAATGGTTAGAAGTATTTATTCAGATTTCCTCCTATTATTATTGAAATGGTCAACAGATCTTTTGAATCTAAATTGGTGTTTCTCGAATCTGTTCTGACCTCACTCCACAGTAAGTGAAACACATTACATAGTAACCTAGTACATATATGTGTGTGTTTATATTGTGCTAAACAATACTCACTCTTATTGTATAATAAGTACTCTGTTTTCTGTTTGGTTTACTTAATTGTTTATTTGATTTTGATGGTGCTTAGAGTTCTCCAAATTAGTTTTATAACCTACTGATGGATCATGACCCATGGTTTGAAAAAGCCCAGGTCAAAATCACTTTGAATATTTTTGAATATTATAATCCTCTGGAATCAATGTATTTGTGTGTCTGGGTTAGCTGAAGTACTCCAAAACAATATTTTAATCAGGTTTTTCTTTTTTGACTTTATTTGAAGAAGGTGAAGATTCCAGTTGTATCAGCAGTGAGCACTATGTAGGTGGGCTACATAAGCAGAGTTCCTGGTATAAAAGAAATCTTTGTCTTTCAGTCAAGGACAATACTTGAAACATTCTTATATACATTAAAATACCTAAAGTAGATGGATTTTTGAAAGGCAAGAAATATCTTTGCTGTTGTTGAATATCTTTGCTGGTGATAGAGATAATAAAAACACAAAAAACTTTTAACAGTAGCCAACAATTTTGTTTTCTTCCTTCAGCAAACTCTAACCACTTGCTCAATACTCATTGCTGCTGGTAAGGAGGAAACTGGAAAGCCTGGATATCTACTCTTCCTACTTTTTTCCCTTACATTTTGGTGGAATTGATATGAAAAATGTTTAAAGGCAAACAATAAGAGAGGCAAATAGGAATTGGCATATGGATAATCTACAGAAACCTTTAGTCAGACTTTTAATAACTGTGATGATGAATGTACTTGTTTGCTTGTCATATCTGAAGCCCTGTTACCAGGTAGCGAGGCCTTAAAATATGCCTAAATTCTAGAGTAACATTTGTGACACTAAAAGTAGATGAGACATTATGTAGAAAATAGTAGAATCTGCAGCGCATTCCGTCTTTATCATGAATTTGTTAACCTCACCTTTGTCAATTAGAGGGTCTAATTTCCCTTGCCTCTTAGATTTTCATTCCCTCATCAGTTGCTATTGATCTGATATCTCATGGGGAATTCATGGCTGTTCTTGTTGATTGTAATCAGTAAAGCTTTTTGAAGTTAGAAATTACTTGTTTGAGAACATCAGGTTACAAGTTTCAATTCAGATTTTCTAGTTACTGAGTAGCTGTAAAACTATGCAAAAGAAATATGTAAAAATACTGGGAGACCTTTTTCTTTAAGTGTATCATACTATTTCCAAAGTACACAGGGCAGGATAATCTCTTAAACTTCAGATTACTGCTACAGCAAAAATTTGTACTTAGTTGACTAAAACTACTTTATTGTAAAATGTGACATTACTGTTAATTGCATTTTCAACAATCATGTATTTTTTTCCATTCCCAGGAATACAAACAAATGATCCTAATGCTGTGGTCATAGGATTGGCACCAGAACATTTTCATTATCAAATTCTGAATCAAGCATTCCGGTAAGTCTCTAGCAATTTATTTCTCATCTGATCATATACTTCCCTCTTTCCCTTCTTGAGTCTATGTCACATAAGGTTATACATGTTTTACTTTCTAGCCACCTAGATTGTACATGAAGACACATCTTCAAAATCACTTCAAGATCAACATCAAATAATATTTAATACTATCCTGCTTATTTTTAAAAACATGACCAATATGTTAAAATGTGATGATCATTGGAGGTTTTTCTGATTTGTAGAATCAATATTCTAGAGCAGAAATTCATAATAAAATTGCAACTCTTAATACTAGTAGTTTCATCTTTTATCACCACTCCAGTGATTCTCCACTCACTATGCTAATTTCTGACGGAAAACAGCGTCCAGGCTGCTGCCCCCAAAATAGTAAATGTGATTCTTCCTCCAGTGAGAATCCAGGCTATGGAAAAATCGACACATTTGACTGTACTTCCAAAGAAATTATTCTGAGTGGTAATGGTAGCCTGAACTGAGATAGTCAGAATGAAAAAAACAGATTCAGGTAGTATCAACATGACTTGATGAATGATTGAGTTTGGAGATGAAGAAGGCAGTGAGTCAAGGTGGATATCAGATTTCTGATCTGAGCATGTGATCGAGAACACTGCCTGTGTGGGGTTCAGGAGGTGATAAGTTCAGGTTGGGTCTGTGTGGCATGTGGGATATCTAAGTGGAGATAGATGTTCCAGTGGATATTGGTTGAAATTGGGGAAACACAACTAACATATGTAATGTTATAAATCTTCAGTTGTATATGCATTTTACTTTTATGAACCTTTTGCTGCTGCTTCCAAAAGAAAGACTGCGTACTGGTTCTCATACTTCCTAAGATAAACTGGATCAGAATTTATCTACAGATCTGCTGTAGAGTGAGATTGTGACTTTTTCCCTTGCAGGTTTCTCACTTTTCATTTTGCCTTTTACTTCTTGTCAAACCATTAAACAGTATAATTTGTCTTTGAATTTATGACAGGTAGCTCAAAATATTGTATAGGTATACATCAAACTAGCTTAAAAAGTTTTTTTTTAATGGCCTGATAAATTTTTGGTATTTAACTTCAAGAATGCTATAAAAACATTATTTTCTTACCAGTACTAAGATCTACAAGAATCATTCTAACTTATACTTGATGTAGAATTCATTTCGTGTTTTTTTTTTTAATATGTTTTTATTGATTTCAGAGAGGAAGGGAGAGGGAGAGAGAGAAAAACATCAATGATGAGAGAGTCATTGATCCGCTGCCTCCTGCACACCTCCTACTGAGGATTGAGCCCAAAATCCTGGGCATGTGCCCTGTCCAGGAATTGAGGTGTGACCTCCAGGTTCATGGGTCGATACTCAACCACTGAGCCACACCATCTGGGCTAGAATTCATTTCTTTTTTTTTCTTTTTTTTTTTTTAAATATATCTTTATTGATTTCAGAGAGAGGAAAGGAGAGGGGGAGAGAGAGATAGAAACATCAATGATGAGAGAGTCATTGATCGAGCCCGCAACCTGGGCATGTGCCCTGACCGGAATCAAACCCCAATCGCCTGGATCCTAGGTCGATGCTCAACCGCTGAGCCACGCCCGGCCGGGCATAGAATTCATTTCTTGATANCTGGATCCTAGGTCGATGCTCAACCGCTGAGCCACGCCTGGCCGGGCATAGAATTCATTTCTTGATATATATGTCCTAGAATCACGACAGGGCTCATACATCTGAGCACATTATTTGCTGTTGATCTTGGAAATGGCTGTCCTCGTGTACAATCTGTGTGGCCAGAAATAGCACCTTTTTTCCTCTTGTGCATTTTAGAGTCTCAGTTAATAGAAACTATGGCTACTTAATGCACTTGGTCATTGTGATAGTCAAGCTTTTGTTTAAAAGGAACATACTCACTTTTTATAGTTGCTCAGTGTCCGTTTACTGTAATTATTTCCTGGAGGTCCACTGCCATGCCACATTGTGTGAAGATATACATGGGGGTATATGGTGTTAAAATTTCTTTTGCTTCACCTACTGCAATTATTCTACTGTGGCTTCTTTGGGTTGGGGTGAGGGGAATATTATATCACCTGCTCCTTAAGTAAGTTTTACAACTATACCAAAATCGGTTTTCATTTGAATAGAGAACCTACTTCCGAATTTACTTCTACTACCTTTTATTCATTTCTTTAACCACAGAATTCAAGGAGAAGGTATTGATTGATTTTAGCTGGTAATTTGGGAAGGACATATTTAATAGGTCTCTGCATTAGATGAATGCTAGACTCAGAGTAATAAAAATGTATGTTGACATAATACTGACTTTATAATTGCTCGGATGCTGTCTAATTAGTACACTTCCCTAACCATATTGATTTTTTTAAACACTACATCTTGAAGCATTACAGTGCACTTATAGGTCAACTCTAATTTCACAAATGCACTTAACAGCTGGATGGAGAGTTAACAGAAGGATTTTAGGTCTTGCCCTTCTTTGCATATTGATGTCTCCACAGAGACTGTGCCTTCCAACCAATGACTGTAGCTGTTTGGATTGTAAGTGGCAAATACAGACTTCTCAAATGAACCACCGATTAGTTAAATTACTATTCAGGTTGATAATGAGAATAAACATTGTATTTTAAACCCCATGGCATAGCTGCCTTGAACACCAGCTCCAAGGGCATATTGCCCTCAGGTGGATGCATTAGCGTTCCACATTGCACTGCTTCTTATTTACTGTTTCAGATGGGTAGGCCCCCAAAATGCATAGGACAATCTGGCTACAAATATGTCATAAATGTGTGAATGAAATTGAGAACAATGCATTGTAGAGAATTGATTTTAGAGCAGAACATGAAGCAGTTATAGGAAATAGACATGATTTAGGGGTTTGGATTCTAGAGAACATTTAAATCCTGAGATCTATCGGTATCTTTTTTCCTTTTACCTACTACAAGAAGATGCAAAGAATAATACAACGAACACCCATATGTCTATCAGCAGTTTAAGAAATACAGATTATCGACATATTTGATATCCCCTGCATATCCCTCCCCAAATTTATCACCCAAGACCCAGAAGTAATCAGGATTCTGAATTGTGTTTATCATTTGCATGCACTTTTTAAATACTATAGCATGTATGTTGGTATTCCTAGACAGTACACAGTATTATTTTTCATGTTTCTTCCCTGGTAATACTGCCTGATTCATCAATGTGAACCTACATGGCCCCAGATTATTCATTTTGGCTGCAGTACTAGCTTGTAACAGGGTCTTTTTCATCTTCTGACCTGAGTTAGAAACCCAGAGCTTGAGCATTTTAGTAATGGACCAATTATAATTAAATTTAATGATCTCTGTTCAGAGGAAGGCTACCTGGGCAAGCAGATTACTTAATAATCTAATTTGAATTTAGCATTAACAAGATTAAAAATATCTCAGCACAAAAGTAATATGTCTTTATTGTGGAAAATTAAAAATGCTCAAAAGAGAATAGACAAAATTGTCTGTAATCCTTTCACCTAGCTAGTTTGTTTCCATGCACATACTCATTCAGACAAAAGTGAGAATTTGTATGTACTGTGTGGTAATTTGCACCCATATTCTTAAATATTCTTCTAAAAGATGTTTGTTTCCCACAGCACATTCCACTTGGAGAAGTGCAGTAAGCTGTATATCCATGTTTTCTATTGTTGGTTATTTTTAGGTTTTTGAAGTTAGTTTAAAAAAAGACAACCATAAACCTTCTAAGAACATTTGTTAAGCAATATTTATGTTTGTTCCTTAAGATTTTTTCAGAAATATAGTTTTTGGATCAAAGGAATTTTGAGGAAAAACTGCATGGAAATACTTAATCTAAGAAAAGTTAAAGTTTTTTTTAGTAAATTAAGGGCAGCTGCTCTCTAGCTTCTGGAGGAGCTTATTAAAATGTTCTATCTGAGAATAAGTAACATCACAGCCTGCACATTTAAGTGCAAGAGGCAGAAGGCTGCTTAAGAGTAATATTCTGAAGCTTCAAAACGACTTAATTTTGAAGTTAATTATTTCTTTTCTGTAATTATTACAAGGTATGAGAATCCTCGAAAAGTCTTAGAGATGTACGGAAATTAGTTTGTTTTTCAGGAGGAGATTCTTACCGTAAATAGCTGCTATTGAATGTTGGATTGGTTTTCTTTTCCCATCTCCTCAAGAAAAAAATTAAAAGTTAATTACTTCAATATATTAAATTCCTTAAAAAGAGAAGAGAAAAGGAGAAAAAGGATCAACAACAGTGGCCTCAGTTATTCCTGCATTTGTACAGTAACTTCTGAATCTGAGTATTTAGAACCCTGGGCATGAAGAATTCCAGAACACTGTGCCAGCAGGACTCAAATTAGAAATATTTCTCTGGGCTTTATCCATTTTGAAAGGACTGACTGCTGCTGTGCAGTTTTTTAATTCAAGTCCAGACTATGAGAAATAAGATTTAAGAACTTTAGGTGTTTAAAGCATTACATTAGTATTTGCCAGAGAACCACTTTAGATGCCTATTTGAAATCCACAGAATACAGAATTGAGTTTAATATCAGTCACTAATTGCTCTTATTTTTTAATTTGGGGAGATTGTTATATGATCAAGGCAACTTTTGCTACTCTAAATAAAAGTTGCAGGTGAAAAAGCCACACAAATATATTCTGTTACTCATTTTTGAAATTGATGTATAACATGCACAGCAAAGTACCCAAATTGTCAGCATACAATTCAATAAAATTTTACACATAGATATACCTGTGTAACCTCTCTGATCAAGATCTAGAACATTTCTAGTACCCTAGAAGGCTCCTGTCTCAGTCAGTACCACTCCTTCCTTAAGTCACCACTACTCTGACTCCTGTCAGTACTACCAATCTTTGGTCTTCATGTGAATGAAATCATAAAATTGTAGCATTTTTGTCTGTTTTTGAGATCTATCCAAGTTGTTGCAGGTTGCAGTACTTTCTTGTTTTGTTTCTTTATTTTTGTTGTTGTGTAGTAATCTATTGTATGACTACCCCACAATTTATTTATTTATTTATTGTTAATTTGGATTGTTTCCAGTTTTGGCTGTTAGGAATAAAGCTGCTATGAATGTTCTTCAGCATGTCTTTTGGGGGACATATTTGCTCATTTCTCTCGGGTCTGCAGAGTAGTGAAATTACTGGGTAATAAGATAAATACTTGTTTAGCTTTAGTAAATATTGCTAAACAATTTTCTAAAGTCATTATAGCAAGTCATATATTCCCATTGGTTATGAATGAGAGTTTCAGTTGCTCCAAATTCCCACCAGTCTCTGACCAGTCTATGTAATTGTAGCTATTCTGTTTGGTGTATCTCTTACTGAGTTTCAGTTTGTATTTCCCTGATGAGTAATGTTCTTGAAACCTTTTCATGTACTTGTTGACCATTGGATAACTTCTTTGCAATGTGCCCATTCAATACTTTTACCTTTTCTGATTGGGTTGTATTTTCCTTACTGATTTGTATATATAACAGAACTAGGTATATATATAAGCTTTTGGCTGGATATATGTACTGCAGATATTTTATCCTGGCCTTTTCACTCTCTTAACAGTATGATAACATGAAGTCCTTAATTTTAATGAAGTACAATTTGTGAAAATGTCAGTAGTGCTAAGGTTGGGGGAAAAAACCCTGATAGTTCAACCTCTTCACTGATAAGAAACCTAGGTCCACAAATGTGAAGTGATTTGCTGTTACCTGTTTTAAGAAGTGTAGATACTACATTCTGGACCAGAAAATGCTGGGGTGGGTGTGCTGGGGAGAGGCAGTGCTGTACATTGTAGGATGTTTAGCAGCATCCCTGGCTTCCACCTACTAGATGCTAGTAGCACCCCTCTTCCTGCAGTTGTGACAACCAAAAAAGTCTTCAGACACTGCCATATGTCCCCTGGGGAGCAAAACTGTCCTTGGTTGAGAACCACTGAGCTAGATATCTGCCTAAGATGTTTATATTGTAACCCTGCTTCCTCACTAGGATTTGTAAGTTTTTTCCATTGCCTACACAAAATTCATAGCCAGAGATTTTTGCATTAGGCCTTCTTTGTGCCCATTTGTCCTTGCTGCGTGTACCTCAGTGGGCTTATAGTTAGAGAAAGAAAATTATAAGAATATTTCCTTCTGGTACATCATTTCTAGTGTCAAAAACAACCAACCCTTTGTTGCCCTGTCTAGCAAGTGTAAAAACACTTCAAGTGTTGGGGTGTCTGTTTTTGATATTTTTAAAAATGTTTAACTATTAAAGATCTTTTAATCTGTATCCTAGAAAATGTTTACCTTTCAGTCTATACCTGAGTATGCCTGGCTCTTCAAAGACTCAGTTAAGCTTATTCTGTGCAGGGGATGATAGCAGCAGGAACCACCTCCCTGAGAGATGCCTATCTTTTCCAGCCTCGTGTGGTACCAGTTCCCATTTAGAGACACGTAGAGGAACCCACAGTTTCAGCCCTTTCAGGGAAGGCACTAAAGTACTGCCTGGGAATTGAGTACACACATCAATCAAGCTGATAAATCTTATCCCCAGTTAATACATAATAAAATATTAACAAAGCCAAATCAAATGAGTTTTTAGTTTAGCTATGTAAGTGGAAAGTAATTTTGAGGTCTGTTGCATAAAGAATTCCAGTTCCGTGGTAGAGTAGCAAATAAATGGGATTGGGGGTGGGTGGCAAGGGAAGATAGATAAATCACCCATTATTATCTCATTGCTATCAGCTGTGGTTCTTTAAGGCCAGGGTAGTGGCTTTATCAGGTTGGATTTTAAGATCTGCTTTAAGAAATAAACTTGTATTAATATTAGTGAATAAATTTGAAGAATCTGTCCTGTGCTGTGAGCAATTTGTAGTAACTAACAGAAAGGCCCTGTAATAGTCCAGTATTGGTTTTTACTTAATAAAATATTTAATCATAAATGTCTGAATTCTGCATCTCCCACAGGAAGGCATTTCCATGCCCACCAACAAGAATAATTTAGCAGTTTCATAGCTGAGCGCTTAATTACTCATAATTGTGAAGGGTAAGATGTGATGAATTCTTCCTCGATGGACATACTAAATATTTTAACTAAGTAGATGACTTAAAGTAAATTAAGCTGGTGAGATCATTTATTACATTGGTTAAAAGCAGTTTAAGAAATCTATCATGTCCCGCATTCCATTAGATGGTAATATGTGTGTGACTGTATCTGCAATGTGACTACAGTCTGCACGGTTGGGATGGATGGCAGATTTTTTTTGGATGGGGGTTGGGAAGTAAGTATTAAGAAGTTGGCTGGTGGGGTTTTTTGGATTTGTTTCGTTATGTTTTGCCTGAGTCAGTAATGAGGACCCTTAGCTAGTAGAGTTTGGTTATCAAATTAATGGGAAAACGCTTTGTGCCCTTTTGTTTGGTATGAGAATAATTGTCCTGTATCAGGACAGAGAAAGAGATTTGGCAGCCAAGGCTCTCCCTTAAACCTTGTTGGTGTGTCCTTCCGGGAAGATGGCCTGGTTTGTAAAGTAGTGTCAGAAGCAGTCAAAGGTAGAATGAAGAGGTAGAGGTCCAAGCAGAAAGTATTGTAAAATGCTCTATTAAATTTCTGAATTAGAAAGAAACTTCTCTTTTAGAGTAGAGGAAACAGGAAATCAGTATTTTAGGAGATAGAGGAATATGTCACTGCAGCAACAGTTGTGTCATTCTGTAAAGGGCTCAGGAGCCCCCTGCTTACCATTAGGGAAGGCTGAAACAACTTGTCTCATTAAGTTAAGCTTCTTCCCTTGAGTGTCTTATTTAGCTTTACTTCTCTTCATTCTCTTTCCCTGCTGATTTGGGTAAAGTGTCTGAAACCACTAAAGGTAAAAGGTTGAAGCAATCCCAAATTTAATAATCTATCACCTTTCTTTAGTGTATTTGAGTATAATTCCCAGCAGTTCTTAGTGAATTCATTAGAAGACAGCAAGTCATTAAAAGTTAATAAGAAACTCTTTGTTTCTGTGACTGTGGATGAAACCACTTTCTTTTCCAGTCATAAAGGCCTTGCTCTTAGCCAGTTTCCATTTTCTCTGTCTCTCTAGGTTACTCCTGGATGGGGCACCTCTGATAGCAATCCACAAAGCCAGGTATTACAAGAGGAAAGATGGCTTAGCCCTGGGGCCTGGACCATTTGTGACTGCTTTGGAGTATGCCACAGATACCAAAGCCACAGTAGTGGGAAAACCAGAGAAAACATTCTTTTTGGAAGCACTGCGGGGCACTGGCTGTGAACCTGAGGAGGCCATCATGATAGGAGATGTAAGTAGAAGAGTCCAGGAAATGCCCTGAGCTCACCTCTCATGCTGGACTCTACTACTGATGACATCAGATGGTGATAAGTGGATGCCTGTTAAACAGGCTTCTGGTAGATGTTTAGTGGTATTCTTCTAAAGAACTGAAATTTTTATTATTTCTGACATTCTCTATAGTGTGATGAGATGTATATAATTCAAAGAGCATTAAATACAAGTCAGTCAAATGCTTGATATGTCTTTTTAAAGAAACCTTTACAGAAATTTAGATTTTTCAAATATTACTAATGCAGGGAACAATCTATACCTAAAGAATTCTACCATTGTTGATTTTTTTCTTAGTATATGCTCTATGGAAGAACTTCCCAGTGTGCCACAAATAGCCATAGATCTTGATTGCCTCAGCCCTTAGAGTGGCAGGTCTGAACCTGGACAGTTAGAGGCCCTAGCTGGTGACCTCTGGCTGTGAGCACCTTGTCAGTTTACCCCAGGGTACCGGGGAAACGTTTTCTACGTGTGCCACGAGGGAGAAAGAGCTAGAAAGCACACTGCCCTGTGGTAAGTGGGTGGCAAGGATTATATTTCAGATTTAAATAATGTGTTAGGCTAGAAGGGGCCATCAGGATTGTGTGGTCCGAATCACTTCATTTTCTGACTAGGAAACTGAAGCCTGGAGAGGTCAGTCTCCATGCCTCCTTTCCAGTAGCTAATTAGTGACACAGCTGGAAGTAGAAGTTGGGGCTCTGGGGACACTCCAAGACAAACTGTAGATCCCTCGCTTTCTTAACTTGTGATGGTGCAAATGTATCACAGCCCTCCTCTGATACCCTCTTCCACATCTGTATTTGTTCACCTCATACTGAATAGGATAGTCACTGAACTTGATACTGTTTTGAGAAACCATCTTTTTTTTAATCCTCACCCAAGGATATGTTTTCATTGATATGAGAGAGAGAAAGAGAGAGAAACATCAATCAGCTGCCTCCCGTACCCTCCCCAACCAAGGATCGAACCTGCAACCTTTTTGGTGTACAGGACAACCCTCCAATCAACTGAGCTGCTCGGCCAGAGTGAGAAACCATCTTTTCAGACACATCTGTTCCTCTTGGCAGGCCTTTATCTGACTTTCCTAGGCAAGTGTGTGTTTGAAGAAGTGGTTATCTGAGCCTGGAGACTTCGGAGTGTTTTACCTTGGAAGATACTGGTTTGGGGACAGGGTGAGAGGCAGGAAGGGCATGTGATAGCAGCTTCGTGCAAGGTCGTTTGTTATCCCACAGTGGCAGTTTTTTCCTCCCTTTCTTTGTCCATTTCCCCACCTCCCTTCTTTCTCTTCCTCTCCCCCATCTTCACTGCTGCAACAGGGCAAGTTTAGACGCAACAGAAAAGGTTTTAAATTAGACTTTGAATGAAGATTTTGACATTCTAAAACTCATTTCCAAGGGCTGTTGTTGAATAATATTGATTTTAATGGAAGAGATATTTTCTTTAGGCATAGTCCGAATGAATCCTGCTTATAGGCATGAGATAGCAGGATTGATTTTCTTGATGTTTCTTTCAGTCCTTGGGTTTTATTACCTTGCATTTATCATCACAACCAGCCAAGTATATTCATCCGCATCTTGAGTAAGAATTGGACAGAGGACCTCCTTTTCTAACTGATCTGGTATTCCCAAGTGTGAAGGGAGTATCAGTCCCACAGCCTGTTTAAGCATACTGATGTGGCATGATTGCTCCTGTTAGGGACAATCAGATGAAAAGTAAGGATAATATAGTACATGGGCAGCAGGAAAGCTATTTTCTGAATCTAGCTCATTCACTGTCTACGCTGGGATCATTTACCCTAAAAGCTGCCAAGTAGATAGAATGCTTTTTCCATGATCTGTTTTAAGAGGAGATCGATGTTCATGTGGAAAAACTTAAAGAACTGTGACTGTGCTCTTAGTGTTTGGTTACTAGAATTACTACTCCGTTGTACACCACTTTCCACCTCTGTTACACTTCCCTTTCCAAATGCTATGCTTCCTCAGACTATTACATGTGAATTTACCTGTTTTAACACCTTCCTGGATTTCATTTCAAGAGAAAACCATGAGGTTACAGTTGCCGTCCCAGCCTAATAAGTCAAATAAATTGGTAGGTTTTATTGGCAAGTTAATTGAAGACCCTATACTAACTGCTTTCTTTGTGCTTTCTAGGATTGCAGGGATGATGTTGGTGGGGCTCAGAATGCCGGCATGCTGGGCATCTTAGTGAAAACTGGTATGTATCTTCGGTACAAGCTTTCTGTAAAGCAGGATGGTAGAATACACAACTGCCTGAAGAAAAGTTTTTGCAGAAATCACAAAGCCCATTGGACACTTTAATTCTCTTTCTGCCACAAAGCAAAAATAAAATGGTCTTTTCTTTTTGTGCCAGCTATAAGATGATGAAGTTGATCTCTTTAGGAACTGGCCAGCTAATGACCTGATGCTTTGTGTTGATGTTTGCATTATTTAAAAAACACACAAAAAATTCTTTTCTTATCTTTCACTTACTGTTTTAGGAACTATTTCCTGTACAAGATTAGGGATACTCTGCATGGTTCCTCAAATAAATGTAAGGAAAAGCTAGGAACTTAATGAGGAAGACACTGCTAATGCAGTATTTTGACCTCAGTGGATGGCTTGGCAGCGGTCACCCTCGGGAGCTGACAGCCTCTGCCCTGCGGGGTCTGGGCTTCCATTTAAAAGCATTGATTTGCTCACTATTTCTATCTTTAGAGCTGCTGGGGGTAGAAAATGATTTCATCAGCTATGGAGATGTGAAGGAACCCTTAGCTGTCAGGTGACCCAGTGCCTCTGGTTGTCCTTGAGAAAGGCTAGAGGTAGGCCTGGGAAAATGCTGAATGTAATATTTCTTTAATTGCCTCATTGCATCCTGAAGCCTCAGTAAAAGGTGCTTTGGGAGATGTGGACCCTGATTCTCTAGTAATTGTAAGGGTGGTATTGCAGTGGCCGAGGTGTCCACGGGGTGTGATCACTGGCATTCTAGCTTTAGTCTTTGTTCACGGCCTTTCCTTCTATTTCAGGGAAATACCGAGCAGCAGATGAAGAAAAAATTAATCCACCTCCTTTCTTAACGTGTGAGAGTTTCTCTCATGCTGTGGACCACATTCTGCAGCATCTACTGTGAACCATCATGTGAACCAGAAGCAACTTGAAACGCAGCTTTTCATCATCTGGAACGAATCCGTCACCACTCAGAGCCAGCACAGGCAGACACAGCCCTCAGCGCTGACATGGTGCAACCCTCTTGTATTGTGCACTAATTAGAAAGAAAGGTATTGAGTTACAGCCAGCCACTAAGCCTTGCTTATCTCTTTTGTTGTATTTTGTAAAAGAAGATGAGACCCAAAGAAAGGGAAAGCTGAGATTTTATGCCATTCCTTTTAAAATATTCATCAGAATAGGCAGGGCTAGGAGGGAGAAGCTACTGCAGGGAGTTGTGTTCTCTGCTCTCTCCTCACTGGTAAATTGGGAGGGTAGATCCAGATTGTTAATAAAGTTGAAAGGTGCATTAGTCTGTAGTTTTAATATTCAATTCACCTGTGAAACCCATCAGAAGTGCCAAGTGGAGTACATGTCAGAAGAAGCAAAATAAATTGTCCTTTAGCCCAAGTGATTGAGTGCATTTGCTTGAACGGATGTTGGAAAGTAGATTACCTGCTGTATTATTCCCAGCACGGATGACTTCTTTTTCTCTTCATTAGCCAGAGATGACTAATTTAAATTTAGAACCTGATTTTAATTTAAAATAATATTTCCATTAATAACCTATTCATTGCAGATACCTATTATACTGTGTAACAGTTGTTTTGGAAATTTTATGTAAAATTAAAACTATCAGTATTTTACAGATGTTTTAATTAGACATTGTTATTAACAGGAACAGTGCAGAAACTAAAATCAAGCCTTTAATGTCTTTTAGACCATGCATTTTTGAAGTTAGTGTCCACCAGGGTCCTATTAACTGTACATTTGCAAGATTTCATTATTTTTGCCTCTGACACTATGGGAAAAATCTTTTAGAAGCTATTGGGACAGATTCAGGCTTTTATGTACTTGGTTACTACAGCTGTAAAATGAAATCTTGTCTGGTAGCATGGATTATTCTTCTCATGTTAAAGCCACCAAAATGAAGGGGACTAAGTAGGTAATGATTTTCCTAATGCATTTGCATACTGTGATAATCCTGGGCCCTTGCAATTGTTTACAGGACTCTTGGGCATTGAATTATTAGCATGTAATTGTACATCATTGTGGTGCTCACCTTATTGAAGCACACACTGATGTTAATGAGCTTCGGGTTTTGATGCTTGTTTAGAGATCAGCTTGGTCTTAGATGGGAAGGAACAAACCTAAATAAATAGTGGCTCTCCTCTCCTTTTGGTAGTTTGGTGAGCACTCTTCTTGTTTTTATAGATGCATCAACTTGGTACTTAAACATCCTAGAGATAGATGTGACAGGACCACCACCCCAGATCAGAAGGTGAGCAGAGTGGCAGAGAGCATAGATTTGGGAGCCTAACCAGCACGTAACTAGCTCTATGACCCTGCGCAAGTCACCTAGCCTCTCACACGTCCTTTCCCTTTTCTGTAAAACGGAGATAACGATCGTGCCCACCACATAGGCTTGTTGTGAGGGTTAAATGTGTGGTTCATATATTAAGTATTTAGAATGGAATCAGGCAAATGTTAGATATTGGTGGTGGTGGTGATGTGGCAGGAGTGTCCATGTTTAACAATCTGGAAAGTTTTGGAAGAATTAATCTCTATAGTTCCTTCAGTGGGGAAAGTCTTCCTGAGAGTTAAAAAAAAGAGAGAGAAACATTCTCCTACATTTAGACTCCCTGAGAGCACAGTTGTGCAGAGAGAGAAGTTCAGCATGCAGGTAGAGAGTGCTGCTTGTACCTGCTGGATGGGCTGCATTCAACTTTGGTCTGTTATCTGGGCACCCAGATCAGTGATTCTTTGTTTGCTAGTTGCTCCGTACTAAGTGCCAGGCTAGGAAATAAGCATTGAAGAGAAGGATTTAGCCTTGAAGACCCTTACTAGTGGAGGAGCTGTGGAGAGCACACAGACATCATAAATATTCCATCTGTCGTCTGTGATGCCATCCTGACTGCTCGATGGAGTGAGGTGTTCCCTCCTTCGAGTCTGCGTAGCACTTATTTGATTACACTTAGGTGTTCACATGACTCTTGTCCCTACCAGACAGGGCTGTGTCTCATTTTTTTTTTTAAATATCTGCTACAACACAGATAAGCACTCAGATGGTTATTGAACCAATAAAAAACTAGCTGTAAGTATTACAGGAATTTAATGTTAGAGGGTATAGCTGTGGGGAGGGAGGAGAAAATAAGATTCATTTTAGACTTGTTGCCATAGGGGAACTCCCCCGTAGACATTTGGAAATAATGGATCCGATGCTCTGGAGACAGGGTAGAGCTAAAGCAGTGAGGTAGGCATCACTGATGGTCAGGAATGAAATAGTGACAGGAATGGGTGAGATCACTTGAGCATAACGTATCAAGCCAAGAGCAATGGCTTCTGTACTTTTCTCCATTCTGGTTTGGCCCTGTGAGCCATTAACATCTCAGTTTGATATTTTATTGATTTAAGAGACATTATATAGGGCTTGCTAACCACCTGTCCATAGTAAAGTTCATGAGGATAAATAAAAATCTTGGTTTAGATCCAGGTTAGTATAAATTTTCCCAGCTCAGCTGGCTGGTTTGCCTTGGGCCTCATGGAGGAGATTTTAAAACCAAACTATCTAAAGGACTTCATTTTCCAGCCCTCCCATTTAAAGGGCTATCTTGTGGTGGTAACCTCAACGACAATATTTGCATTAGGTTTACTGTAATTCTGTCCTGGGCCCAGAAGAGGGACCAAGTGGCATCTTAGGACTAGACAGTATTAGAGAACACCTTTTTCAGGAGATGGCTGTTGAGTATCTGCTGTGAGCCAGCTGCTTGCTAGGTGTGGACGACAAAGCCCAATGCAGTAGGGGAGGTGCTTGGTTGTTGCACCCCTTCATTCACACCTCTAGAATCAGCTAGTTCTGCAGTAGCTCTGCCTGCCTGCCATTTTACGTCTGTCAGAGCTGAATGTAATGTCTAGGAAACGAAAGCAAGCTCCCCCTGTGACAGTTCCATCAAATACACCTGTAGCTGTAGATGTCAGAAGTTTCCTTGGAACCTCACCCTTAATTTCACATTTAAAAATTACAGTAGCATGTCGAACAGTAAGTCAAAAACACAGGTTGTGTTCAGTTGGTTTTGGGTCATTCATTCCTGTAATATGAAACTGAAGATTTTGGGTCCCTATAATGAAGAATTTTTTAAATTGCCCTAATCTGTTTCACTAAAACATTCTGCCTCAAGCAGTAGAATCCCTTTCTCATATGCAGTTGTTTGCCTAGAGCCATGTTTGCATGATCGGGTTTCTCTGACATAAGTCACAAAAGTCTTTTTCAGCATAAATGCACAAAGCCTTTGCTGCCTTTGTATTGTGCCAGCCATCAAGGCCTCCTACCCCAAAGCACGTTGCTCTTGTTAAGAGGCAACCAGAGCACCAGAAATTATCTTAATTTAAACTGTGTATCTGTTAAAATCAAGCAATTTTGAATACCTTACTTTTTTCAGTGCTTACTTTCATGTCATACACATCTCAACACCTGTTTGTTTCACTGGCTGGTGTGCCTGAGAAGATGAAACTATTAAATGCCCACTGTGTATAAAGTACTAAGGAAGAGAGAGCAGAATGTAGCTCCAACTCCTTAGATGCATATCTTTTAGTTGGGAAATTGATGCATATAAAAATAAATCTAACATTCCAAAGGGCACTGACAAGTTCCAAGGGTTGTATAAGTCCTGTCAGAGAAGAGGTCATGTGCAGTGAGCTAAGAGCTTTGGCCTGTGCCATTTTAAAGAATGTTTCATTCATTCAATACCAGTGAAAAAAGTATCACAGCCATGGTGTTAACATTTGAGATGAAACAACAGCTTCATACAACAGAGCTATTGACAAGTGATGAAGATGAAAAAGCCAGTAAGAGTGAGGAGATTATTCTAGATGAGTATGGTCCATCCAGGAAGGTTTCCAGTGGTGAACTGAAGGAAGTGTGGGAACAAGTTGGAATTCTAGAGGCAGGTAGTTAACTTTATTGCCAACATCTGTCTATCAGGCATTTCAAGTGCAGATCAATCACTGGTTTTCCTAGGAAGATTGGAAGATCTGGCAATGTTAGGTCCAAATTTCTATGTTTACTTGGAGCCGAAGTCATTGTTGTCATTCAGATAGTTTTGGCCGTCTCCACTTCCCCACAGTCCCCGACCCTTCCTTGTCTTACAGCCCGTTTCATTTACTCGGGTGTTACTATGTTCTAGGTTCCTAAAGGAATCTTGAGTTGTGACCTCTGCTTTAGAGGAAAATGCCTTATGTTGGATTAGGTTAAATTTTCCTCTAACAACTAACAGGCCAATCTCCTATATCCCTATAAACTTAGATACTTTTTTAATCTACTTTTTAAAAAATGACCATAGACTCTAAACATAGATTAACCATATATGTCAGTTAGTCTCTTTCTCAAAGCCCCACTCGAATAAGAGTGAAGGAAGAAAGAAAGTATAAATCCACGAGGACAACCCGTGAGAGAATGGTAGAGGAGACATCAGTGGATGAGAGGGTGCAATAATTTGGAAGATGGTAAGTGGGTGGAGTGTTATAATTAAAATGAGCATAAAGAAAAGAACCAAAATTCATCCTGAAGAACCACCTCAAAGGCTCAAGGCTGGGAGATACTAGGTAGAGAGAAAATGAGGTGTGAGGCAGGATTGAGAAGCAAGGAACTGGTTGGAAGCTGACAGACAAAATGGAGCCCCTGAGCAGCCAGATGAGCACCCCCAGCCTAGGCAGGAGAATGGAAGTTTATTTTCTGAGAAAGTGAAACCATGAAAGTTAAGGCCTTAGGGACAGTGGGCATGGTACTGGGCCAGGGCTGACAGTGCGAATTAGGTACATGTCTGCTTACACTACAGCGGTCCTCAGTTCCCTTCCTCTGCAACACCAGGCCATTTGGAAAATAATACTGATGGGTATTGACAGATCTGAGAATGTGTTGCAAAAAAAAAGAGAAAACTAAGGAAATGGGGAGAAAGGCAGTTATTAATTCCAGGAAAGACAGAACTCACCAAAAAGGAAAATGTAATCCTGATTTCACTAGTTGGCTCTGTAGTGAACAACATACAGTACTCCTAGAAATACTGATTATTGATTAACCTAACATTGTAGCATAACTATTTGGGAGGATAGGGAAAGACATGTTTGTGTGGTAGGGACAGGGAAGAGGGATGAAAGCTACATTTCAGTTCATCTAAAGAAGTTGTAATTTATAAAACTAATTTTTAAAAAAGAAAGCCACCAATATAAAAGCATGACCTAAAAACATACACGCTTAATTATTTGGAGACAGACTTTGCAAGGGAAGGAGAGAGGATTGAATATGTGATTGAATGAAGGTGGAAATATTACAAAGATGAATTTAGAGATTCTTAAAAGGAATGGAGGAAGGTTGTGGAGATGTGTTAAGTACCTAGTAGGCTGTGTGGGGGGTTCTGGAAGTATTTACTGTGAGGGATGGCAAAACCACTCAAGTGGAGTCAGGAACAGGCAGTAAGCTAAAAGGGCCCAAATGTATGGTTACAAAGGATGTTGTCCACACACGTGTCTCTTGTCTCTTTACCTGTTCACTGTGAGCTACACATACAGTGCAAACTTACCTGCTTTCCAACCGTAGCAAATTAACAACAGTGGAGTTTCCATCTAATTGGGATTTTATGAAATCAGAAAGGATGGTAGTAGCCACAGCAAATGGACTAACAGCTACAAAAAATGTCAGCTGGCAGCCTGACCAAGAAATAACCCCATAGCACCGAAAGAGGATGTTGGAAATTGAACAGTACAGCAGTCTGAGGCCATTTAGTTCAGAGACCTATTCATCAGGCTTTTTTGTTTTTAGCATATCCAAAGATAAAATATCTTTTTGTTTATTTTGAATTCATTATGTAAGGTATATTTTAAATTTGACTACATATTTCCATGACTATATTTTAGAAGGCTTTTGAAAATATTCCACTCAAAATAATACCCCTTCCCCCCAAAATGCTTTGTTTTTGTTTAAAGGGGTAAGTGAAGTCCTTTGGGATATTTACCTACCCACAATGTCCCGGTTCCTGGGAATTGTTCTTTGGAGGAGGAGCCTGTCTTACAGGGATGAAGAAAACAAGGCAAGTGAGAGAGAAGAAGGTGACTTACTGTAGATAAGTTTTAGTTGGGGATGGGGTGGCGTTACTTAGTAGAAGCCTTCAAAATTTATCAGGAGTTGAAAATTGATGCTTCTGAGATCGTGGGTTTCTGAGAGAGATGCTTTTACCTGTTTATAACCCATACGGAGATGTGAAGGAGCCTAAGAGCAGGGAGACTCAGGATAGCTGTTCTGGAAGCTCAGGTACTCCATCCTAAGCTTTGGATCCTACAGGTGCTGTGGTATGGAAAGAGAAGGGCAGCGCACATGGGATGTGAAGAGTTAAAAGATGTTATTAGGGGTCAGAACTCAAAATGCTCAGACTGGTAGCTAGTGGTAGTGATGTGCTAGTCGCCACTGCTGTTAGCTCTAGACTCAAAACAGTCATCTCTAGAGATGGAGTGACATTTCCGAGTGAGATCCACTCTTGTAGGGGTTTGCTCCTGATAAAACTAGTTGAGGTCAGCATTAGGGAGAGCTGATGAGATTCCGAATATTGTCAAAAGAAATAGACTAGCCCGGCCAGTGAGGCTGAGCGGTTGAACATCGACCTATGATCCAGGAGATCAAGGCTCAATTCCTGGTCAGGGCACATGCCCAGGTTGTGGCCTCGATCCCCAGTGGGGGGTGTGCAGGAGGCAGCCAATCAATGACTCTCTCATCACTGATGTTTCTATCTCTCCCTCTCTCTGAAGTCAATAAAGATATATTTTTAAAAAAAG